CCCCCACCCCCCACGGTAAAAAAACAGGAGCTTCGTGACTCCGCGAGAGAGTCTGACGAGAACGCCCAGCGTTCCGAGGCGTCCGCAAGCGCCGCCGGGGAGCAGGTCCGCCGGCTCCGGCAAGAGCTCGAAGCTGCGCGCGAGGAGGTGGCGACGACTCGCAGCGCCGTCGAGGCCGGCGACGGGCGTGTCGTGTCCCTATCGGAGGAGGTGCAGGCGCTCCGCGCGTCGCGCAACGGGCTGGACCGGAGGCGGGTAGAGCTGCAGCTGGAGCTGGCGGGGGAGAAGCTGAAGAACGCGTTCGGGGTGCGGGGTCGGTCCGGGCTGGGGCTGGGGCTGGGGCCGGAGTTCGGGGCCGACCTGGGCGTGGCCGGGGAGGTGTTCCAGAGGTGGCGCCTGGCGTTCTTAGAGGGGAGGCAGGGGGCCATGAAGAGCGAGTCGGAGGAGAACCGGGGGAAGGCGGAGAGCTACGAGAGCCTCGTGCAGCGGCTCAGCGAGGAGCTGGAGCGCCAGGGCGAGGCCGTGAACAGGCACGCGAGCTTGCTTCTCGAGAGGGAGGAGCAGCTGGACGCGGCCCTGGACCGGGCGGCCAGGGCCCACGACGAGCTCATCTCCATGGAGCCGCCGAGCCTGTCGCAGGCGGTCGATGGCGTGAAGATTCTCCTCAGGGTTTCCACTGCTGCGGCGGCCGGAGAGCAATCGGCGGTGACGGGAGACGATGCTGCTGCTGCTGCTGCTGCTGCCGGAGACGATATTGACGCCGCGCCGCAGGTGTGGTGCCTAGTCCGTTATGCTATCGCTTCTTCTTCGTCCGGCAAGCGCCGCGGCACGGCGACCGGACGGGAAGAGGAGGAGGAGGAGGCGGACACGGCAAGTGCAGAGGAACGTCAGCCGCAGCAAGGGGGGCGGGAAGAAGAGGAAACTGGAGATACCCCGCGGGGCAACGTGTCCAGCAGTAGAGACGACCAGCCGATGGAAGGAGAAGAAGGGGAACAGCAGCCTGCTGCTTCAGCACCGGCAAGCCCAGCTCAATCTCAGAACGACGCTCCCGCCACGGATGACGGGGCAGCCGTTTCGGCAGAGGACGCTCAGCTGTCATCGAACCACCCCGTCCGCGAAGGGGCCAAGGGCGATGAGAGTGGAGGGGAGGAGGAGGAGGACGGGAGCGAGACGAGTACAGCGGCTGGTGATGAAAGTGTCGTGGCTAACGGTAACAACGACAAAGATGACACGGTGGAGGTGGTCGAGTGGCGGACACAAGAAGACGTGGACGAATGGTTCGCTGTTCAGGTCGCCCGCGCCATAGAGGTGGCCGAAGAACAACAACAAGCAGCTAGCCTCGGTGGCGGTGTCGACGGAGGGCCCTCCGCCGGCGCGATGGACGCAACGGCGGTTAACGCGCAAGCCCCGGTCGCGGTGGCCCCGGTTTTGCCGGTGCTGGAGACCCCGATGACGCTGCAGCAGTCGTTCGGCGCGGAGCTGTCGCGCGTCAGGGGGGACCTGGAGGGAAAGCTGGAAGAGGCGCGCGCCGAGCTCACGAGGAACACGGAGGCGTACAAGCAGTACCGCGCGCGGGTGAGGGCTCTTTTTTACAATCGGTGGCAAGAGCAGCCTCTCCTCTTTGCTGAGGGGTTGCGTTTTTCGGTTACATGTCTAGGGTAGAAGGGTAGGGTTGAATCGTGGCCGGAAGGAAGAAAACTGTGTTACCCCGGGATTTCATGATGACTCAAAATATGAAGGTACTGAGCGGGACCCGGAGTCATCTGCAATGTGAAGTCACCGACAGCAACGACAACGACAAGGCGGGAGTAGGAGTGACACCTCGTTCGAGAGGAGGCAGTACCGCATCTTTTCTGGCGGCGAGCAGGAACACTCGGGAACGAGTGCGATGCAGCAGCAATGCAACTCCGGCTCTTACCTTCACAAATAATCGCGGCGCTGGTTTTCGTGACCTCGCGGAGCGTGGCTATAGTGTCAGTATGTGTATCCCAATTAATTGTGGTGTTCGTTTTTTGTGTGATTTGTTTGCAATGCAGGCACACACGGCCATCAAGAACAGCGGGGCCTCGCAGAGGGACACGGAGGCCCGCATCGCGCAGGCGCACAAGGAGCTGTCCGCCGAGCAAGAAGCCATGCGCAAAGCCCACGAGGACCGCACAGCGGCGGAGGCTCGCTGGGCTGAAGAGGTGGGGTACGGCATGTCGAGGGCGGACCAACTACCTTCTGAGACAGCTGTGCGCACAAGGTTGCCGCTCTCATTCTTCCACCCCCCCCC